TGACGCCTCATGATGAAAGCCAAATTCCTTTGGAAGTTACGAGGCGGATGCCCCTTCTGACAACCAGAGCAACCATTTATTTAGGTACATGGAATGTTCGTACAATGTGGGACACCGGGAGAGCCTTCCAAATTGCTGCAGAAATGAGAAGATACAACCTAGAGGTACTTGGGATCAGTGAAACACATTGGACGCAAGTTGGACAACAACGACTAACTTCAGGAGAGCTCCTGTTATACTCCGGCCATGAATAAGAAAATGCCCCACATACACAAGGAGTCGCATTGATGCTGTCCAAACAAGCACAAAATGCACTTATACGATGGGATCCTCATGGACCAAAGATCATCGAAACATCCTTCAAAACAAAGAAAGAGGGCATTGCAATGAACATCATCCAATACTATGCGCCTACCAACGACTACAATGAAGACGCTAATGATCAATTCTACAATAGGCTGCAGTCAATCGTCGAGAAGTGCCCAACAAAGAACCTGACCATTCTGATGGGAAACTTCAATGCCAAGGTTGGAACGGACAACACTGGATATGAAGACATCATGGGACGACACGGACTGGGAGAAAGGAAGGAAAATGGTGAGATTTGCAAACCTATGTGCCTTCAATAAACTGGTCATAGGCGGCACCATATTCCCACATAAGCGCATTCACAAAAGCACATGGACTTCACCGGATCACACCACGCAAAACCAAATCGACCATACCTGCATCAACAAAAAGTTCAGTAGGACGATGGAGGACGTCAGAACCAAGAGAGGAGCTGATATAGCATCAGATCATCACTTACTGGTCGCCAAGATGAAATTGAAACTTAAGAAGCACCGAACAACGGGGCAGAGAATATCACAAATGTTCAATACGACCTTTCTTCAGGATACTGACAAACTCAACAAATTCAAGATAGTCCTTAGCAATAAATTCCAGGCCTTTCATGATCTACTCAATGGAGAAGAAACTACCATGGAGAGCAACTGGAAGAGGATCAAAGAGGCAAGTACTTCAACATGTCATGAGGTCCTGGGCCACAAGAAGCACCATCACAAGGAATGGATCACTGTTGATACACTGGATAAGATTCAAGAAAGGAGGAACAAGAAAGCATCAATCAATGCCAGCCGAACACTAGCAAAGAAAGTCCAAGCACAAGCTGAATACACAGAAGCAAACAAGCAAATGAAGAGGGGCATTAGAACCGACAAACGTAAATATGTGGAAGATTTAGCAATGACGGCGGAAAAGGCTGCAAGAGAAGGGAACATGAGACAACTGTATGACACGACAAAGAAACTCTTTGGAAATCACCCTAAACCGGAGCGACCAGTGAAAAGCAAGGACGGCAAGGTAATCAACAATATTGAAGAACAACGAAACAGGTGGGTAGAACACTTCAAAGAACTCTTGGATCGACCAGCTCCACTGAACCCACCCAACATCGAAGAAGCACCCACGGACCTCCAAATCGATGTTGGCCCACCAACAACTGAAGAAATCAGCATGGCCATCAGGCAAATCAAAAGTGGCAAAGCAGCAGGACCGGACAACATCCCAGCAGAGGCACTGAAAGCAGACGTAGCGGCAACTGCAAGGATACTCCACATTCTCTTCAATAAGATTTGGGATGAGGAACAAGTACCAACAGACCGGAAAGGACTTCTAATCAAAATACCGAAGAAATGCGATCTCAGCAACTGTGATAACTGCAGGGGCATTACTCTTCTCACAATACCGGGAAAAGTCTTCAACAGGGTATTGTTAAACAGGATGAAGGACTCCGTAGGCGCCCTACTTCGAGACCAACAGGCAGGATTCCGTAAGGATAGATCATGTACAGACCAAATCGCAACTCTACGGATCACTGTGGAACAATCAATTGAATGGAACTCATCACTCTACATCAACTTCATTGACTACGAAAAAGCATTTGATAGCGTGGACAGAACAGCACTATGGAAGCTTCTTCGACACTACGGCGTACCTCAGAAGATAGCCACTATCATACAGAATTCCTATGATGGATTACACTGCAAAATTGTGCATGGAGGACAGTTGACAAAATCGTTCGAAATAAAGACCGGTGTTAGGCAAGGTTGCTTACTCTCACCCTTTCTCTTTCTCCTGGTGATCGACTGGATCATGAAGACGTCAACATCTGATGGGAAACACGGGATACAATCGACATCTAGGATGAAGTTAGACGATCTAGACTTCACAGATGATCTGGCCCCTCTATCCCAAACGCAACAACAAATGCAAGAGAAGACGACCAGTGTAGCAGCAGCCTCAGCAGCAATAGGTCTCAATATACACAAATGGAATAGCAAGATTCTCCAATACAACACAGCATGCACCAATCCAATCAAAATTGACGGAGACGATTTGGAAGATGTAAAAACCTTTACATATCTGGGCAGCATCATTGATGAACACAGTGGATCCGATGCAGATGTGAGGGCGCGGATCGGCAAAGCAAGAGCAGCATATTTACAACTGAGGAACCTCTGGAACTCAAAGCAACTGTCAACCAACACCAAGGTCAGGATTTTCAATACAAATGTCAAGACAGTTCTACTGTATGGGGCGGAAACCTGGAGAGCAACGAAAGCCATCATCCAGAATATACAAGTGTTTATTAACAATTGTCTACGCAAAATACTTCGGATCCGTTGGCCGGACACTATTAGCAACAACGTACTGTTGGAGAGAACAAACCAGATCCCAGCGGAGGAAGAAATCAAGAAGAAGTGCTGGAAGTGGATAGGACACACATTGAGGCAAGCACCCAACTGCGTCACAAGACAAGCCCTCACATGGAACCCTCAAGGCCAAAGGAAGAGAGGAAGACCAAAGAACACATTACGCCGGGAAATGGAAATAGACATGAGAAAAATGAACAGGAATAGGATGGAACTAGAAAAGAAGGCCTAGGACAGAGTGGGTTGGAGAATGCTGGTCTGCAGCCTATGCTGCATTGGGAGTAACAGACGTAAGTAAGTAAGTATTAACAGTGTAACACATTCTGAAAAATACAGAACACTTTTCCCTTAATAATTAATCGAATATAAGTCATGGTGGGATAACATTTGTCGAATAAGTAGTTCACACCATGGAGCCCTGCACAGTCTTTTTTCGTAAGTTATTGAATCTGAATAGTGTACGCCAATCTAGGTTATTACTGAACTTCACACCCACTACAGATCTCGTGGCAACTGTTACTCTGCTTATTGAATAATGGATATACCGATGATCTTATCAGTTGTTAATATTAATTCTGATACCTCGTTCAAACTTTATGAAGATTTTTTCTGTGATGGGTTTTCGAACCAAGATGATTAGAAGGTGAGACTATTGCTTCGAAAACTTGTCATCAGAGGACATGATAGGTAGTCAAAATCTATATTGCCATTCTAGCCACTATACAATGATTTTGAAAACAATAAAAATATTGCTTCAGATTTCGGGAACCGTTCTTCACTTTTAATATGAGATGTCGTTGTAGGAAGCTTACAAAACGTGAATCTGATAACTTCGTCATTGATCCAATTATTGTTAACAGAGATTTTGAGCGCTTCAAGTTACGATCGCTTTCAAAAGACCAATTTATTTCAGTTTTTACATAATTTCTGATGAGTTGTGGATTGTTGTTGGTAAATAAATAAATCTACCTCTTCATTCTTACATTTCTTCATTGAGGCGAGAAATACCATACTTTATTTTGTTACGCAGTAAAATGTTATCAGTTGTGGCCACAGTATAACAAGTACCAATACTAGTATTTTATCAAGTTACAACAGAATCAAACTCTCAACTTAAGTCAGTCCAATATACACGGAGTCTCATTCAATGTTATCGGTTAGTGACTGTCTCACTTATATCAGTTCTTACGACAAGTGAAAATGACTTCACACTAAGATTCAGGTGATTTTCAACATTTCTGCTTATGATGAAGGTCATCTTCATAACATAAAAAATTCCCACCAAACTACTACTACAATAGAAATAAGTTTAACAGCTTGTCTTCACTTCTAGAACACACTACCTATTTTAAGTACACAGATCATTTTTCCTTAAAGTAATTATTCATTCATAATCAATCAACAATTTGGGGAATAAATGTAATGATTCAAGTTGCCATATCCTATTAAGGCAATGAGACAAATCCTAGATTATTGGAGCTAGTAGTAGTACCACCGGTATTATAAAAGAATAGGTGTAGACAGTATGATCTGAGGTGAGAATGTGAATTCGCGGAACAAAAAATATAAAGTAACTTAAAAACTTAAGATTTACAGGAAAGCATTATTATGACCAATTCTGAGCTGTATTACCTAAAATCCCCGACCATTTGTTATGATTATTGGTTGTCATTCTATCTTAGATATTCCGTCTTTGACTGGTTAGACTACTAATGCTAAATATAGGCAAAAATTTCTTTGCACTTATTGTACACCTCAGACGTAAAGTCATCAACAAAATTTAGTAATACATAGCGGAAATGATTAGATTGATTCACTTCTGAATACGTATTAATTTCATTTATTTTCTTTTATAAAGCACACAATTTGCAACGATTTATCATTGTACAGCTGTTCATTTTCAATGAAACTGATAATTAAACTATTAAGATATATCTTTTTCCCTACTTCCTTCTTGTATTAAAACTGGTGATACAAAATGCATTTTAAGAGCAGCACCTAGTTTCTAAAAGTCACATTCAAATTCATAGTCTTTTATACGTGCACTATGACAGGCACATCAAGAATTGTTATTCGCTGAACAGATATGTAATAAATAGTGTTGTGACTTGAACTTGGATCGATTTTTACCCCGTGCCAATTGTCGTGTCCTTGGCTGAAAGATTAGAGAGCAGTGTATTATCGATCGGACCAAAGACGCGTAAAACACGTAAGAACGACCTAGAGTTCTGATTGGCCCCGCTCCCCTGTCTAGCCCAGCCAGTTGAGTCCAGAACGCAAGTCTCAGCCTCTGAGGTATGAATCATTGTATTCCAAGCATACTCTGTTTATATACCGATCAACCCGACCACAACGTACCAATAAAATAGAAAATAACATTTGCACAATAATTAGCCAGAAGTGGCTGTGAATGAGGGAGGTAGCGATTAACAGATAGGGAATAATTCATGAATGGTAAATCGTACAATAATAGTTCATAGGTCAACATAAAGCTCATAATAAGAGGGGTATGAATATGAACAGTTTAGTAGCATAACAACTGTACGATAAAAATATACTCATAATAATGGTCCATAAATGGATCCCAAAAATTACCATTCATTATTCTTATCGGGACACAACAAATAGTTTTATTTATTTTATCCAATTGTGGAGTTTTCTTTAACCTAAAATGAGTAGTTAACATAATTGCACGAACATAGTAAGACAAAAAACGGACCATAACAGTATAGCATAAATCAACAATAGCATCTAGGCATATAAGATCCCCTGCATAGAATATTCAGTTTGACATATAAATTCACAGACTGACGGGGACAATTTTCCACAAAAGATAATAAAATAGGTTGTTTAACGCTCGCGCGCGAGACTGATAGGTCCTGGGTTTGAATCCCGCGAGGTGGGGTCGTGGATGCGCACTGCTGAGGATTCCCACAGTAAGACGAAACGGCCGACCAGTGCTTCCAGGTTTTCCATGGTGGTCTAGCTTCAATTGACTCATGATCTCAACTATTGAAATAAATATTTATTCAGAATATGAACGTTATTGATAGCCTCAAGGTCTTCGTCACGTCAGTAAAACTGTTCTACACATTTAACATGTTATTAAGTAATTTTGTCCAAACAGATTTCTTCATTAGACGCAAATAATTGTACAATTTATAGAAATGACCGAAGTTTATTTAAATAAAATAAAACTGTCAAAAATAATTAAAAGACGTAACTCTTGTAAATTCAGTTCCATTTTTTTATGATAGTTTACATATTCAACAAGCGTTAAATAGAGAACTATTAAACACTATAATGCAACTGTCTTGTCCTAGTCTACAACTTGACATCAGTCCTAAACCATAATCTCATATAAGATTATTTACAGTACCTCTAATTGAATTTTAAATGGCTAGAAACGGTAGTACATTCATCAGCCGATGAGTCCCAAATGGGATAAAATAAGCGTCCGGTATTCCACTTTTACACATTCCATATATTCTGTATCAAAAGTATCTCTACGTTTTACGATAAAAGTAATATCTGCGTACTACTGAGTTGAAATTCAATTATTCTTAATTTTCAACCTGTTTTTTGGAATATACAGAAATCAGTATCTGATGACGTTAATGGGTAACTGTTTAGTTGTCGATTTGGTTGTTTATATAATCATAGTTTCATACCAGGAACTACTGAGCATATGTTTATTACTTTTTTAAGGTAGTTTCCTCTCCACTTCACACCTAACAAATTTCCAACTGGAAGAAATCATGTACATCCAAAATATCTTATTGATCATCCACCAAATGTTATACAGAAAATTTGTCTTATGACAGTATAACAATGAGTAATCGATGGAAATGATACTTCTTCTTTGCATTGGATAACACGAAAACAGAACTAATGGTAATTGTAAAAAATAGAAAATTTATGTTATATTTTTTAATGTGATCAATAGGATGTTTAATTTATTATTCCAAGAGAACTCCAGAACTATTTAATGGAAGATATTTAACAGAAAAACTAGGATGTAAATCTATGACAAACAATAAAGTGGTAAGAGGTATGGGACTGACTGGATTGTACGATCATTATTTAATATGGGATTGCGAACTGACAAAAAAACTCCTTATAGAAAATTATTTCTGTCCATGAAACACATCGACTTGTATTTCTCTCTTACTTTTTAGCTCATTTTTCTAGAGATTTTTACAAAAATTAGTATTCAGTAAATAAATGATAGAATTCGAGGAAAAGCACTGGATAATTGTTAGTCCGCTAGCCTATTCTTTTATACGATATTTTTGGTTTAGGCTAAAGCCAATCATATAAAATGTGGTATTTATCTGTAAGGGGGAGAATTTCATGATGAGAGGAGCATTTGCACGATAGTCCATACCTTTTTTCTTTCTTTTTAGACTCCATAATTATCGGGTAATTTAGAATAAAATGATAGGTAAATATAATCTATTCTTACTAAGATTTTCTGTGAATGTAACATAGAAAGTTGAGTCTCTACAAAGAAACTATAAAGTACTGTAACACTAGAATTTCTTCGGGAATTTAAAAGTTTGTTAGTTTTCAAACGATTGTTTTTTGGATAATTTTGACTAATCGACGGAATTCTTAATAATAAACAGATTTATCATATCATACATCATATGTTCATCATTAAATCCAGCTTTAACTCAACTAATTGTCCTAAATATTAAATCATTAATAATATGAGAATAAGATATGAACTTGAAAGTCGTACAATTAGATTTGTCTTGAATATTTCAATGAGCCCATTTGAAACCCGACAAAACCTACTTGTTTTGTCCATATGAGAAATCCCAGAAATTGAAGTAAAATGGCATACCGAATTCAAAATACAAGCTGAGTGAAGAAATATTACTGTTCAATTCGTTTTTTATCAAGGCTCTACATTAACATATATTCAGGCGAGAAACACCGCCTTCCAGAGATTATTACACTCATCTTGAATCAGTATTTATGTCTATGGTCATCTGTCTATCGGTCAAAGACATTTTACATTTACCCATAGTAAGGAGCTTCAGATGACGTGTCTCAAAATCACTTACGAAGGACCACGCGCATTCACTCTTTATCTTCCTTTAGATCAGAAGTTTCCTAATTATCTTAAAAAAAAACATAAATATTCTACAAATTCATATTTACTCAAATAATATGATTTATGCTTAATCTCTAACAACACTAATAATATTACTACATACGCTGATATCTTGTGCTGTTGTAATTTGCGTATAACCGGTTGACATTCATAAGTTTACTAATTTTGTAACATTAAACATACTCGATAGACATTCCATGCAAATTTATTGGTTATACTTATTGGTATTGACGGTCGAATTATCTACCTAGATATTCCAAAGGATGTGGTCTTCCTGAAATTATCATACAGAATTTCTAATTCAAAACTCTTGATCATATTACTGATACAGGCCCGTTACTCCTCTCAGGGCATAAGCCAAACTGATCATACATTCAACACTAAGTATGATAGAAGTCGTGCACATCTCGGTACTGTACTTGTTCATTATTGAGCTCATGATTTAAATCTTATCATTAATTCCAATAACAATGTTTGATTCCGACCCCAATAAATATTAGCATCTATTAAACTTACGCATAGTAAAAAATTTTCGAGTAATTACTAATATTGGTTGTTTAGCCTTTGGAATTAATACCATTCACGTAGCGATGTTACTGAATAGATCTATAATTATCTAAACACTGAATGAGATAAGGCTATTTACTGCAGGGTTGTACTTTCTTATTATTTATATTCAAGAGTGAGGTAATCAACGTGGTTTGGTTCAGTGGCCCGTATAAAAGAAAACTGGACGAATGCTCACGACTCCATTTGTGATCGATCCCCAGCGAATCTCCTTATTGTTATGCTAATCAGTTTCATCAAATAGATTTAAGGTATTGAATTTAATAGCTACCTCGTAATCATTGTTATGAAAACTTCTCGTACTGACCGAAAGTGGTTATCATTAACGAAACTTAGTAATCCAGTATGCCGTGCAGAGAGCCCATGATATTTATATTACAGTCGAAATGTTACCAGTAGGCTCATCACCAAGGTTAATAAACCGCGCTAAGTAGGTTTCTAGGCGAAAATTTTTCCATGTTTTTTTTCGTAAACACATGATTTCAACCATTAAATTATAGTACAGTACCAGGTGAACATCCTATTTAATTGGTAACTAATTTCTTATCATGAACTAACACTAAGGAAACCATTCGATTTCATGGAGCACCAAACGTGTCTTCCGCACCCGCTTAAAACTCCAGTAGTTCCAGAGCATTTCATCACACGGGATCAAACTGATCACACTCAGGCATCACAAGTATGAGTAATGGTTGATTAGTTATATGAGTAATTTGAACAAAACATCTAACTACTAGTTTCTTGTTTTCAGACTGTTTGAACCCTACTCTTCTGGTAAGCATCGTCTTTGAAAGCCATTGTGGGAGGTTAAGTAGTAGTCGCAATAACATCAAAAAGATAAACAGCTGGTTAGCGCTAAATCTAGTTTTCCTCATGAGTCTGGGCACAAATGTAACACGATAGTGACGCTTGGTAAGCACAGACATAGTTTTGTGTTTGTGTGAAATTCATTTTATTAAATCTAATAACATCTGTTCCTTCAAATCCCGGCAAACAGTGTAGTTATTACTGATGACGAAATAGTAAACATTCCGACACTGGTTTAACTATTTTTGCCGAGCCTCTAAGTTAGAAACACTAACGCATGAGTTATCACACACCCAATTTCGAAAGATGAGGCACTAAAGATGTCTTCAGGGAGCAATATCGAATAGTTTTTTGAGTCTTACCCGCAGTGCAGAATACCTGTGAGAAACTTAAGTACCCGTAACGCAACAGATGATCGACGTCCGAAACAGACCCGCCTAAACCCGTTTACCAGGACTACAGCCTTACCTGATGAATTGTCCAACTTCGTCTGTAGCCTATTTTACTGGGAATAACCCTTGTGATATGCAATGCAGCGAACGGCAGGTAGTTAAACGCGACAGAACATGGGAATCCTGCCTTCAGAAAATCACATCACTTGCGGTTTGTGATATCCTACAGTAACCTGCTAAGCATGGCCGAGTAAACGGGATCCCAGCTTACTTCAGTTAGACTGAAGTAATCCCGATAAAACCACTGCTAAGTAACAAACCATTCGTGGAATCAGGACGACTACCATCAAAAACTACTAGAAGCTTATGGTCGACTGTCATCTGCTTTTGCAAACTCAAGTGGTGTCCGTCAAGACTGTTCACTTTCTCTATTTTTGTTTAACTTCATCATAGACATACTGATGGAAATAACATTCTCGTCCACCGAATTCTCAGGCGTTGATCTCCTTACAGGAGGTCCACTTATCGACTAAGAATACGCAGATGACATAGTCCTATTTGGTGAAGACGTTGATAAAATGCAGTCTTCTGGTAGCACTAAGCAACAATGCCAGAATGTTTGGAATGCGCTTCTCTCCCTCTAAATGCAAGTTGTTGCTTCAGGACTGGTCTGCGTCAACACCTGAACTAAGAATAGAGAGTGAAGTAGTCGAACGCGTTGACAACTTCACTTATGTTGGGAGTCTGACCAGCCCTAATGGGTTGGTGTCTGACGAAATCTCTGCACGGATTGGAAAAGCTCGTCTAGCTTTTGTTAACTTACGTCACTTGTGGCGAAGGCGAGATATCAGTCTATCAATTAAGGGACGAGTATACTGCGCGGCAGTTCGTTCTGTTTTAATTTACGGTAGCGAAACATGGCCACTAAGAGTAGAAGATACTCGTAAGCTACTAGTATTTGACCACAGATGCCTTAGAAATATTGCTCGCATCTGCTGCGATCACCAAGTAAGTAATAGTGAGGTTAGACGTAGGGTATTAGGGAATGATGGTAAATCAGTTGATGAGGTTATGAATCTTCACCGGCTGAGATGGTTAGGCCACGTGTTATATATGCCTGAACACCGATCACCACGATGCGCAATGCTAACCGGTGTTGGAAATGGTTGGAAGAAAGTTAGGGGCGGCCAAATCGAAACGTGGCATCAGTTCCTGAAGTCACTAACTTCTAGTCTGAGCCATGTTGGTAGATGCAGACTACTTGGTTGGAGTCCGCGCAACTATCATAATCAATGGTTGGAGACTGTGGGTGACATGGCTCAGAATCAATCACAATGGCGTCGGTGTATACACTCTGTCCTCCCTTAAACTAAGAGATTAAAATTGCTTCATATATTTCTTTCTACGAACTAATTATTTCTTCCTGTACTATATCCTTATTGCAATCTTTCTTTTATATATTACCACCACTGAATTAACTACTTTTATGAATCCGGTGTCCATCATGTTGTGTTAATGAGGTATGGCAACTTGGACCGATGCATATGTGCCTGATCCTCCATTGTAGCTGACTGAAAAGCCAGATCAGCAGAGGCTACTTTAGACGAGTGGAACCAAACAATTGTTAGAAACGCTCAGAAGAGGTAAACATCCCGTCTATTCAAAAATGGTTATTGTGATGACGATGTCTGTAAAAAGGGAACCTTATTTGATGGTATTCAACAATTATTGAGGATGTCATGCATCTTAAAGACTAAGGCACGAAAACTCGGATGGTATTACCTTTCCTTTAATTTTATTATCTAAACAGCAAGTCTAAGATGGGCACAAAGGTCCACAACAATCAAATGTATAGCGAACTACAAACTAAGTAATAACTGAAGTCACAAATATGTCCTGTAAACTGTTATCGAACTTTTGCGACTGCTGAAAGTTAGTTAGGTGGACCACCACCACACGTCCAAAGGGTAGGACGAGTGACAATTTGATGGAAACACCTACTTTAGGACCACGTAAGCCCTCTTAAACGAAGTCCGATAATCAACACTTGTTACTTTACACTGGCTGCTAAGCAAAATAACAGAAGAAACCAAACAATACTTGACTGATATGTGATAGAGAGAACTGAAAAGTAAGTGCGTAGGTTAACGCTTTATTCGTTATCTATCGATTGACAAAAAGTGACTCGGCTACAGTTGAAACTACTTCACTATGCATGGTCAACTTTATGCATGTGCGTGATGAGATCAACTACGCGACAACTGTATCCAAACTCATTATCGTACCTACACGAAATAAGTTAGGGAACAAAAATATATGAAGACATACCATGAAATTAATTTCACGAAGTTGTCGTTAAGAGATATCCCAGCCTTCGCATCAAATATGGATGAACTGCTATTTCCAATAAAGTCTGAACTGACGACCTCATCATCACTGTATTCCAAAATCCCCTTCATTGGTCCAGATGCAGCTGCTTTGACCACAGCCTTAATTTGATCATAGGTAGCTTTCTTCCCTAATCTGCATGTCAGATCAACGACTGAAACGTCCGGTGTCGGTACGCGGAAAGCCATTCCCGTCAATTTTCCATTTAATGCTGGAATGACTTTTCCTACAGCTTTGGCAGCACCAGTAGAAGCTGGAATGATATTTTGCATCGCTCCACGACCATCTCGCCATAATTTTGAAGATGGTCCGTCTACAACCTTTTGCGTAGCCGTAAATGAGTGCACAGTGGTCATTAAGCCCTCAACTATTTCGAAGTTATCATGAATAACCTTAGCCAGGGGTGCTAAACAATTGGTTGTGCATGATGCATTAGAAACCACAGACATTGACTTATCGTACGAATTTTCATTCACACCAACAACGAACATGGGTGCGTCTGCAGAAGGTGCAGATATTATAACCTTTTTAGCTCGATTATTTTCAGTATGAGCCTAAGTGAACACTAGATAATACAATAAATGATATTACTTTAGCTGCATCAATGGTCGTAAAGACTCCAGTGGACTCTACGACATACTCAGCCCCGTCCTTATCCCATGGGATGTTTCTTGGATCCCTTTCGAAATGAACAGATATTAACTTCCCATTGACTTTTAATTTTCCGTCTTCTGCCGACACCTCGCCTTGAAAATTCCCATGGGTGGAATCACGTTTAATCATGTACACCATGTACTCTAAATTTATGAAGGGGTCATTCACTGAAACTATATCCACGGTGTTCTTGTGGAAAGCTGCGCGGAGCACAAGTCTCCCGATACGACCGAAACCGTTAATACCAACCTTTGCTCTCGACATTTTGGGGAATATCGTACGTGACTTTGCTGATGGTACGAGCAGCAGTATTTATAACTTAGGTCATTAAAACAAAACCAGGGGTTAAATATTACTGAACATCTTTTTCGTACATGATAATATTGTTTTTTGCTTGAAATGTGAAGTAAAGTTATCTAAACTAAAATAACTTCCATATTCTTCTTCGGCGCCTTAAGTCATGAAATACTGGTTATCCGGTAGATTGTAGTGGTTACAGACAATCATCGAATATAATTAAGTGGGAAATAATTGAAATATATATCATTTAATCTAAATAACGGCGGTTGCTGAGCGGTTTTTTATTATCCTTTGACAAAACTGGAATCTCTAAGCGAGCAATCAGAGCACAATAAACTTTCCGGTAACCAGCTGTTATATCCAGTAGTAGCAGTAAATAAATCCCCAAAACCAATAGCTCTGGAAGTCTTCGACATTTGATGCTGACCATATTAGTTTTGATGGACTCAACTAGCTAAAAGCGCTCGGCCGCATGTCCACACCAACTGCTCCTGCAACCGCTAACCTGCTCGCTTCTGACTTCTGATTTCACTGGGTGGACATGATTCAACTATAGAAGGTATTAAAGGTTGGAGTGTTGTCGAACTACAAATACTTGTGGCATCTTCACAGTAAAAATGATCACATGTTCTTTTAGTTAATGATCAAAATGTATAAAAATGGAGTAAGAACCAAAATGGTTTTGATAGTTTGACGAAAATATAACCTTCAACCCATGAAAAATCAGTGTTTCTCTTCTCAATAATTAAGTCAATGAAAAATCAATATTCTCCCGCCGGATTCTGGGGTCAGCCACAAACTTTACGATTGCGATTTGTTCCGCCTAGCAGCAGTTAGTGTTGTTGAACGCTCATGTAATTGATACCAGCTTTCGGACAAATAAATTATTTCGGACTTTCCACTCGCTTTATCATTCGCACTTGTGAACTTGTGATGTGCGTATAAAAGTGTGTAGCCACATTCTTGCTTGTGTCCACAAATGCAGAAGCATGTCCCAGCCGGTTTGAGTTGGCACGTTTACCTTTCCGTTTTTACATCAAAATATTTTCTGTCCATGTTAAAGAATTTCTGAAATAAATTCCCCCAGCTTAATTTGTTTTACGCTTTTTATTGCCATCATAACATAGACAGGGTTAACTTAAGTAAAACATGAGAAATAAAACTGAGAACTTACGTTTATGGCTCGATTGTCACTTGCCCGTTATATCAACAAATGGAATCATACAATGGCCCTTTTTGTGTAAGAGCTCTTAAGGCTTTAACCGCTCACTGATCCGATCCCAGTTTTTATCGGCTAATGATATCAGAGTAATATACCTGTGAGTTACCCTCAGATATGATTGTCGACTCCATTAACTCTAAAGGATAACGTAATAAAATAAGTCAAATATGATAACGCAAATTTATTGTATTTTTCATACACTTGTTACTCCAGACGGGCAACAAAACAAACGAAGCGAAGAAGCAGATCTCAGAAGGGTTGGTATGTGAACAAACTACCGATAAAATAACACGATTTTAACACGTAAATTTGCTTGCAGTACTGGCTTTGCTGCTTGCGCCGGATTCAAGAGACTTAGTCGTTCGAGTTTCTCGCTGACCAAGTCAGCTCCGTTTAGTTCGTAAAGTTCGAGAAGTTCTTTATCGGCGTAGTTTGCAGATTGAGCTAAGTTTGAAGAATAGCTCACTAGTCTTTCGGTTGTTATTCTTTACAAGTAACACTCGTTTCATAACAATTGCCATTTTAAGCAAAGGTGAGCGGTGATCAGTAGTGGAATCCGGGATGTGCGTTTCACCCTATTTGGGACTCGTCATCTGGATGTACCTGGATCAACATAGTGTTATTATATTCTGGGTACATTATTGACCTTGCTTACTGCGTCTTGGATAAATCATTTTTATGGTATTCACCTCAAGGCATGAAACCTAGTTTGGGATTTCTCATGCTCGTATTCCTAATCGTCACAATGGCCCCAGACGACCCAAAACGTCATGAAGCACTCATGGAAGCCTACCGTTCAAAAGATCTAGCACCTGACCACGAGAATCTGTACACCCTAATTGGCGTTCATAATACATCATCTATGATAAGTTGTCTTGAAACTATTGGAAATCACGCTGATTTGTAGTGGCAGTGGGTCCTAACCACAATCCTCAAAGCTGAACATAATAACTAGGAAAATAGACCTTCGACATGTAACACTAAGAGAAGATCAATAATGGTAAACGCGGTAACATTTATTCGAAATTGAATTAATCGGGTGGCATGGCTCGAACTCGCAGGCGTGGTCATACTTATGTAAAATAAATTTCAACCGTATTAAACATATTGTTCTATCTTCAGCCTAAATTTGTTCTTCATCATATGTTGACGATTGTTACAATACGATGAGTCAGGGTAGACAATGATGTGACTTCCACGTATGATCTTATAGATTAGGCAGTTACATCATGACAAATCCACGATTTTAGGATTAGGTCTATTATTGAAGCAGTACAATATCGAAGTAGACCATAATTCTACAGGAACATTCATCGATTGGATGGTATGGCCAAGCCTCTCAGAAGTCGCTGTTCTTTATAACTTGTCTTTGCTCACAATAAATATATTATTCGATCTTTAGCCCAAGTGTGTTCTTCAAAATCACCAGATGTTATATTGCTGATTCTTAAGATATGATGAGTCAGGTTATACAAAGATGGGACTGGCACGTACAATCTCATAGATTAGGTAGTCACATCATGAAAAATATACAATTTTAGGATTGGGTCTATCACATAGCAGTACTGATAATGAACCTAGATCACAACATTACACATTATCCAACCTCAAACTAACTGCGACTAATCCTCCAGAAAACATTTTCGCCGAGATAAGTTAACGGCAACCGTAGCTGCTGGATGTAATCTCTTGTTATGCATTACGAATGTGATGATGAATAGTTGCAGACTGGTTTTCACAGAAGTTAGCATCGTTACTGTAGCATCAAAAGATTGTCAGCGAGATTTGTTTTCAGTTTGCAGGAGTTTCATAGAAAGCCTATCGCGACATAAGGTATGGGATGCTTTTATCTTAATCTGGTTCCGGATTTTGGTTAATTCAGAGGTTTTGATGTACAACATTGCCACAGACTTTATAGGATGTCACAACCTACTTGTAGACCCGGTCAAACGAGGGTTAGTATTTTAAAACACTTAGCCATGTATTCGAAGAGGGTCATTCACTGATTCCACGTTATCACACGTTTCAATGAAACCGACAGTCGTTCTGCACTTTTAACATTAATTATTTAATATATATATTTCCAAATAACAGTATGTTACAGGAGGTAAACCAGTTTCCAATCAAGATCAAACAGGTACAGATGATGCAGGCTTCACTCTAATAAATTACTCAGGTTGATGTTATAAGGCATATTCGTAATACAATCAGAGGGAAAACACTTGTCACACATAAATATGAATAATGTTAATAAGACTCGTATTGCCAACTTCAGAGTTTGCACGCTGTATGGCGCTTGTGTTGAGACGTGTCATTGATGATGGAGAATGAATCCACGCAAAGTTGGGGGCATCTAGAAAACGTAACCCTATATTCCCCTGAAATATTTGAGGTGTTGACGATGACTCAGGACGAAGTTACATGCTCCATATGTGTTTTCAGTGGCACATCATAAGGGTGATGAAAATGAAAGCAAAAAAAGAAAAAATGAAAAGTAGAACAGACAGTATTCTTGACTATTGAGATTGAGTCATTTGTTATGGAATAATAAGGGTATGACTACATAGACTTGTTCTATTTTATTAAGTCAATTGCGATAGGCTAAAGAAAGCAAGCCTAAGTATAGCGATGGATGAACGGAGAATTGTATAAATGGAGTCGGTTCAAAAAGAAGCTAATATTTTAGGATTATGCGTAATTTCAAAATACAGTACGAAAAACACAGTTTACGAGTGCACCGATAGATATTTTTTATTCGTCAAGGCTATTTCAGCTCATTTTTATTATTACAGATTTTGTAGGGTCATTAGTAGACATTCGTTTTATCGTAAATATTTAGTTTGATTTGTGATAAAATTTCTCGGCGGGAAGTAAAACCAATGCAATATTACAAACATGATTCAAAAAGGTATTTGACGTAAGAAGTTAGCATCTGTACCATTAGTTGGTTACATCCTGCTAGACCATAAGGAGCAGCAGTTTAACAAAATGTTCTGCCCTACAGACATGGGTGAGTTGAGTTTATCTTCTAACCATCAAGCTTGCTGATCGGTAACGCCATCCTCCCTCCTTTTGTGATGTTGGGCTCTCTTACGTTTAAGGTATGAGTGAATCCAAGCTTTATGTTGCACAACTTGTTGGAATACACTATATCTACTGGCTCCATGTTACAAGTACATCAGACAAATAAAGCGTCAGTATCGTTGGATTGATATCCACTTTGTGTATCACAGTGCTATGAAGTGATCTTGTAGAATTACGGTCTACTTCGTTATTAATACCTCTCTAATAACAAACTTATTACAAAAATTGTGCATTTGTCAAGATATAACTGCCTAATCCATAAGATCATTGTCTACAAAAACTCGTCCCATCGTAACAACCATCAGTATATGATGGAGAACAAACTTAGGCTACAGGTAGAACAATATATTGAATATGAATAAAAGACTATGTCACAACACTTAGGGTTGACCACGTCTGCAAAGCCAAGTCTATGCCATCCGACCAATTCGAATTAACTGAATTCCTTCTTCCCGCCTTCTCAGTCGTTGTGTTTTTCTCCGCGTTAAATATTAAGGATTCATTTTCCCAGTTGTCTAGTGTTCAGCTTTGAGGATGGTGCGGTTTGGGCTCAGTGCCACTACACGCCCTTGATTCAGAGGCGTATCAACTATCGCTTCCATACTACCGGATTGTGGAATAACCTACCTTACTAATCCTGAGATAGTTACTCAGTTTT